CCCCTGGGAGATTCAAATTCTTTATAACTCCTTGCCGTGTGTGTTGTCTGCACATATAGGTCAATGTCTTTCGTTTTGACCCACATAAAAGCAGAAATCCATGTTAAACTGATCATATTTACGAGATGAGTGGCATAATCAGTGCCACAATGGCATATGGCACAACTCAAAATGTGAACTGCTAATATAGTAGGTACACATACACATAGGTACTACCATTCAAAACTTTGGGGTTGGAGTAATATTGTGAAATATTTCTAATTTAATTCCTGTTATCAAAGCTGAATTTTCAGCAGTCTTCAGTGTCACATGATCCTTCAGAAGTCATTATAATAAGATGATTTGCTGCTCAAGAGACATTCATGCTTATTATCAGTGTTGAAATCAGTTTTTTTCAAAATTCTTTGATTCAAACTCACGTCTGTAAACGGTGCAGCTAAAAACATAGAATAGGACTATGTTCAAAACTCTTCAGTGATAAAAAAACGCAAAAACCTGATGTTTATCTAAAGCCCTTTTTTTCTAACTAGTATGGTTGAATCGGATCATCAAAAGTCAGCAGCAAAGACAGAGAGATCAAACACCATGTATATTTTATGTAACATAATTTTGCAGGTTTGCTCAATATTCTGAGTTCCCTTTCAGTTGGTCACGTTCTTGCGTCAGAACTGAACTGAGAAATTGTAAATCGCTTCGAGAGACCAATCCACTTCGAGTGTAACTAAACGAGCCAATGGACATTGGCATGCGAGTTTTGAATCTGAGGCACCGCCCCGCAGCACGGCTATACCAACCCGATCTCACGACCAAGTCGTACGAATTCGACGAATGATTAAAAAGTGGCTAAATCGTAACAATTCATACGACCTCACTCGTACGAATTAGTACGATTTTGCTAAATCGTACATATTTTACGAATTGGCCAACTCGTATGAATTCATACGAATGACCTACCCCTGACCCCGCCCCTAAACCTAACTAGGGCTGCAGCTATCGATTCTTTTTGTAATCGATTAATCTAGCACTTAATCGATCGATTAATCGAGTAATCGGATAATTTGTTTATGTGTGTTTTTAAGCAACCAAAACAAATAATGTATTACGAAAATGATAAGGTGTTTGGCTTTTATTTCTTTAAAAAAAATAGAGGTATTTATTCCAACTGCAACATTTGGCTCCACAACTAATTATTGCAATTTTTACCCATTTAGTGTTTATAAGTGCCAGTGCCAACAATTATATAACATACAGTTAAAACAATTTACTGTAAAACCTGTTACATGTAGCTCATAACATGTAAAACTTTGAATACAAACTTAAATAGTAAAGCCCATTTGGCCTTAGTTTTGTCTTCTTAATCCAACATTACAAAAAAAAGGCTTTGCACCTTCTGCAAATTACCCACCTGGAAACAAAAATAAATTAATATAAAATATCAACCCAAACAGGTACACAAATGTGTATAAATTATAAAAAATAAATAAATGGAAATAAAACAATTATAAATAAGAATCAGACTTTTTCAACTGTAATCTCAAGACAAACATCAGAGTGTGTCTGTGTGTCTCACAATATTTGTTCCTCCATCACGTCCCGTTTTTTTATGCTGAAATTTTTGTTGCGTGGCTACATAAAAGTTTAAGCATATGATGAATTGCCGCAATTGGTCTGACTGGCGCGTGAGAGAGACATGGGTGCACGCGCTTGCTTACCTCTGCCGTCGTGCGCGAGCCGCGGTTAGGAGCTCCCCAGATAGCAAACTGACATTGAATCAACGTGGAAACAACGTCTCTCATGACATTAAAACAACGTTGATTTTGCTCATCGAATTAACGTTGAACCAACGTCAGACGCGGCATTCTTCAAAGCTAAATGAAAATCGAAAATTGGTTTGCTTTCATAACGTTGAAACAACGCGTTGATTTCAAGTTGATTTTCCGTTAGTTTTGAAAGAATGACGCGTCTGACGTTGGTTCAACGTTAATTCGATGAGCAAAACAATGTCAGATCAACGTTGTTTCGATGTCATATTTCCACGTTGATTCAATGTCAGTTTGCTATCTGGGTCAACATCTCGCATGCGCGCTCGCACTAGATTACAGGATATTTTAACTTGCGAATTAATATGCGGCGGTAAAACTAGTCGTTCAGGAGTGGCTCAACAGGTAGATCTATAGACGAACTCATCTTTCAGGCATTTGACCGAAGGGATTGACACTTCCGCGTGAGAAATCGAATTCCGCGAGTCTCACGCTGAATGCGTGAGAGTTGGCAGCCCTGCCAGGTATACTTTGCAGACACATTGCATCTTGTTCTCTCCCTTTACAAACATATAATGATCCCAAACTTTACACATTCTCTGCCATTTATGAAGTCAAATGTATCATGCGCTATGGTGTGCTTCCTGAATAACGGTCCGTGTGAAACAATCAGATCCCTGCGTGCGCGTAAAGTGCGCGTCATAGGAATTTAACGAGGCTTCGAGGCAGATTTTTTGCCTCGAGGAATTTTTGTAATCGAATAACTCGAGTAACTCGAGGAATCGTTTCAGCCCTAAACCTAACCATCACGTGTGTTTAGACAAATCGTACAAATCCGTACGAGTGAGGTCGTACGAATTAGACACTTTTTAATCATTCGTCGAATTCGTACGAATTGGTCGTGAGATAGTGTTGGCTATACGGAACTGGATGTATTGCATAATTGCTTTTCACTTTGGACCGATAACATTATCTTCACACAGTACAGGTACAAGTACAGGAGGGCCGTCATTCAATAAAGAGCAAAACAAAGTAACTTGCATTACTTATTTAAAAAAGTAACAGATATTTTGTTGTAATGTTTAAGTAATATGTTGTTTTACTAGTTAAAAAGTTATCTAATTACTAGGGGCTGTCAGTTAAATGCGTTATAAACATCGTTAATCTTTTTAGCGCAGGATTAACAGTCTTTTTGGCAGTGTTGTAGTACTCGAGACTCGGACTCGTCTCGGACTCGGTCTCGAGACCATATTTTAATGGTCTTGGTCTTGTCATGGACTCGTGTCCATTGGGACTCGGAATTGACTCGTACTCGAACATTTTTTTTTTTAGGACTCGGAATTATTCCCGAGTCCACTCGAGTTCAATTAAAAAAATATTTTTCATGATTATTAATGTATGTTAATAAAATATTTCTTTAAATTGATCGACACGCCCAGTGATTGGTGATTTTCTAGTGCGCAACTGCGCATGACCAATTGTAATAAAATTACTTTTAACACCACCTACTATGTGGCCTTTTTACCCTAAACGGATCATATTTTTTAAACTCTAAGTAAATTCAGTAAAAAAAAAAAAAAAGGATTTCTCTAAGTAAATAAAAGTAAATTAGGTAATCAACCCTCACTGGTCTCGGTCTCGACTCGGACTCGACCGTCTCTGGTCTCGGACTCGACTCGGACTCGACTCTCTATGGACTCGGTCTTGACTCGGACTCGACTCTCTCTGGTCTCGGTGTCGACTCGGACTCGAGTGAGGTGGTCTCGACTACAACACTGCTTTTTGGCCTAGCAAAGTTTGTAGTTTTTTTTTTTTTTGTGCTTTTGCAACAGGACGCGGCATGCGCAAGGACGTTTTGTTGCTTCGTCGACCAAAGCACAAGTGGATCTAGCTAGACCGGAAACAAAACAACAGGCACGACGCCGCACACACTTGTTTAGGCTTTCGAGCCAGGTAAAAACGTTACATTTTGAGTGGATGACGAGCGCGAGATGCTGAAATGGATGCTAATATTGGATGCCAAATGGTTCCATTGACAAGACCAAAGTGATCTGTGTGTTTTGTCGTTGTGAACTGAGCTATCATCATCTCAGCACGTCCAGTCTGAAATACCGCTCAATGATGGCCAAGCACACACACACACACACACACACACACAGCTGATGCGAATTCTCCGCCCCCTCGTCAATATCAGGACCTCGTCAGTATTTCTTTCACCCTTTTATTGATGGACAGTGTTACATTGAGATATTATTTGCTCCAAGTGAGAATGTGAGTGTGAAAGTGTTGTTTTCAATAAAAAACATTTGCACGAAGCTAGCCGATCCACTTTTCCATGTTGATAAGAGCATTAAAATGAGAAAAAAAATAATGGGACAAAAAGAAATCAAGAGACATTTAGAACAGATAAATATGTGCGATTAATTGAGATTAATCGCAAGTTAACTATGGCATTAATGCGATTAATCGCAATTCAATATTTTAATCGTTTGACAGCACTACTACTTACGTAACTTCTTTACTCGTAATGCGTTACCCCCAACACTGCACATGACATTCACAGCTCAGGTCAGGAAATCACGCAAAAACTCAAGCAATATGGCAGATTTCAAATGTGTACTTCCAGGGGTCCTGTGTCAGCCAAGAAACTGCCATTGACATGCATGGTAAAGCAACAGATTGCTTTCTCTGGTTATTGTAGCCCTCTTTAGCATGGATGTGCATGGACAACGAAAAGTGCTTCTGAATGCACTGATTGTCAGTATGTGTGTGTCTGGTTTAATGCATAATTAAGAAGGTCAGGATTAATGAAGCACTCCGGACTAAAGTTCAGGAGATACTTTGCCTCTGTTTACTCTGACAGAGACCCACAGAGACCTCCTCATTCATAATGCTGAGAATGAATGAGCGAGAGAGCGAGAGAGCGAGCGAGAGAGAGACTAAGCAAAAGCATGAGAAATAGAGGAAATTGATAAATGAAAAGCTTTGTAACAAGTTGTCTGCCCTGTCTAATACAGTACATTACAGGGTTTGACCCACACAATTTACAAGATGTTCTCACTTGCAAGTGGCAACCTAATTATCCAAACACAAATGCACAAAGAGAGTGAAAAAGCAAACCCTTGTGAAAAAGAAGTGTACACTGAATGTGCAAGCATATTTTACACTTATTTTGATTGTTGACTAACATCCTAAAGCACATATGAAGTGCATTACTTGATTATAATTGAACTGTTTTACCTGAAGTGTGGATTCATCGCAGAGCTCTCGTCCAGCAAAGATGACCCGCAGTTGATCAGGCTGTACGCCCTGCAAACGCCCCACCACCTGCTTCAGTTCAGATACACTCGCACCCCTTTCCAACTCCACTGGGAACCCATGGCTGGAATTAAACCGCACATACACTAAGAGAGAGGGAGACAATGAGTGATGAGTGATTTTGTCAAATCCTGATCATTATCAAAGACATTGACAAAACAAAAAGAAAAAGGGACATATATTAAGGATATAGAGTATACTTGGATGGAACAATAAATAAGCTATATAAACCATAAACACAGATGCGGTCAAAATTATTGGCACCCCAGGGTAAATATGATCAAAGATGGCTGTAAAAAAATAAATCTGCATTGTTTATCCTTTTGATATTTCATTAAAAACCCTTGCAAAAGTCATTGAAGTAAAATAATTTAAAGTGGGGGGTAAAATATCGTGCATTAGGACGATAAAGACACACGTCCCCTTCCTTCTTAATGCCCTGAGATGGTGGAGATGGGATTTTTTAATTCTTTAGCTATTTTCTTACAGCCACTTTCTATTTTGTGACGCTCAACAATCTTTTACTGCACATCAGAACTATATTCTTTAGTATTACTCATTGTGATGGATGATTAAGGGTTTGGGCTTTGTTTTTCAATTAAAGATGTCCTAAATCTGAACTGGAAGAGGACGTGTGTCTTTATCGTCCTAATGCACGATATTTTACCCCCCACTTTAAATTATTTTACTTCAATGAAAGGTTTAACTTTTGTGAATATTTGCAATGAACGATAAAAAGGATAAACAATGCAGATTTATTTTTACAGCCATCTTTGTTCATATTTACCAGGGGTGCCAATAATTCTGACCACAACTGTAGGTTAAAGTGTCAGAGTCAAACGCAGGTCACTATTAAATCAGCTTTAATGTCAAATAATTTATATCTTAGATATAATATCTTTTGATATCAAGTGCCTACGTTTTTGCAGAGACGGTTGATACTGTTCACTCTTTTTTGAATGTGGATTAAAATGATGGTGCATTACACTCCGACGCAAGTCCTTATCAGTATTTCCACAGTTTGACATCTCAAAGTAATTCGGCCTATGCAATACAGCCTTAGAAGAACAAAGCTGTATTAAGCTTTTAAATAAATAAATAAATAAATAAATAAACAAGCAAATAAATATTCATTTTATTTATTTAATCAGAAAAGTTTCATGCCATGTACACCGCTACTGTGTACCACCAATGGTAAATGTACTATACCACAGTTTGAGAACCACTGGGGTAAATTGGGTATAGGTTATAGAAAAGTGTAACTGTTATATAAAAAGAGATATGGGTATAAAAAAGGATATATCAATAGGATACAGAGTATAGAAAAGGCAACAGAGGACATTAACCAGACAATAAACTATATAAAACCTGGATATAGTAGGTATGTAGCTACACATATGCGTACCAAAAAACAATATTTGCTGTGCATGTGTACTGAATGAATACAGCATTGTTTTAACCACTGAAAGTGTGGAACTTGTCTGTGCACAAACATTTTGCGAATGCAAAAGAACTGTAGCCAAACATGTAACATGCTAGAAACATAATAATCACTGCAATAATGATCCAATCATTGACTCCTGGAAAAGAGAAGTGGTCCAAGAATTGAGCCCTGTGGAACACCGCAAAGAAGGGGGGCAGTAGCTGAACCAAAGTTCCCAAACTTTACTGAAATACATCTTCCAGACAAATATGACTTAAACCACTGCATTAGAGACAAGAAAGTGAAGAAAAAAAACACAAACAGGCATGCTTTCATAAAAAGCATAAAGGCAAAGTCTGAAAGTACCAGACTCACAGACGAGACTAAAGACAGGAGTCATAGATAGCAGCAGTTGGGGACGAGGACAGGACAGGACAGACTCACAGACGAGACTAAAGACATGAGTCATAGATAACAGCGGTCGGGGATGAGGACAGGACAGACGAGACTAAAGACAGGAGTCATAGATAGCAGCGGTCGGGGACAAGGACAGGACAGGACAGACGAGACTAAAGACAGGAGTCATAGATAGCAGCGGTCGGGGACAAGGACAGGACAGGACAGACGAGACTAAAGACAGGAGTCATAGATAGCAGCGGTCTGGGATGAGGACAGGACAGACGAGACTAAAGACAGGAGTCATAGATAGCAGCGGTTGGGGACGAGGACAGGACAGGACAGACGAGACTAAAGACAGGAGTCATAGATAGCAGCGGTCTGGGACGAGGACAGGACAGGACAGACGAGACTAAAGACAGGATTCATAGATAACAGCGGTCGGGGACGAGGACAGGACAGGACAGACGAGACTAAAGACAGGAGTCATAGATAGCAGCGGTCGGGGACGAGGACAGGACAGGACAGACGAGACTAAAGACAGGAGTCATAGATAGCAGCGGTCTGGGATGAGGACAGGACAGACGAGACTAAAGACAGGAGTCATAGATAGCAGCGGTCAGGGACAAGGACAGGACAGGACAGACGAGACTAAAGACAGGAGTCATAGATAGCAGCGGTTGGGGACGAGGACAGGACAGGACAGACGAGACTAAAGACAGGAGTCATAGATAGCAGCGGTCTGGGACGAGGACAGGACAGGACAGACGAGACTAAAGACAGGATTCATAGATAACAGCGGTCGGGGACGAGGACAGGACAGGACAGACGAGACTAAAGACAGGAGTCATAGATAGCAGCGGTCGGGGATGAGGACAGGACAGGACAGACGAGACTAAAGACAGGAGTCATAGATAGCAGCGGTCTGGAACGAGGACAGGACAGGACAGACGAGACTAAAGACAGGATTCATAGATAACAGCGGTCGGGGACAAGGACAGGACAGGACAGACGAGACTAAAGACAGGAGTCATAGATAACAGCGGTCGGGGATGAGGACAGGACAGGACAGACGAGACTAAAGACAGGAGTCATAGATAACAGCGGTCGGGGACGAGGACAGGACAGACGAGACTAAAGACAGGAGTCATAGATAACAGCGGTCGGGGATGAGGACAGGACAGACGAGACTAAAGACAGGATTCATAGATAACAGCGGTCGGGGACGAGGACAGGACAGACTCACAGAGAGACTAAAGACAGGAGTCATAGATAACAGCGGTCGGGGATGAGGACAGGACAGACGAGACTAAAAACAGGAGTCATAGATAACAGCGGTCGGGGACAAGGACAGGACAGACGAGACTAAAGACAGGATTCATAGATAACAGCGGTCGGGGACGAGGACAGGACAGACGAGACTAAAGACAGGAGTCATAGATAACAGCGGTCGGGGATGAGGACAGGACAGACGAGACTAAAGACAGGATTCATAGATAACAGCGGTCGGGGACGAGGACAGGACAGACTCACAGAGAGACTAAAGACAGGAGTCATAGATAACAGCGGTCGGGGATGAGGACAGGACAGACGAGACTAAAAACAGGAGTCATAGATAACAGCGGTCGGGGACAAGGACAGGACAGACGAGACTAAAGACAGGATCATAGATAAGAGCGGTCGGGGACAAGGACAGGACAGACGAGACTAAAGACAGGATTCATAGATAACAGCGGTCGGGACGAGGACAGGACAGACTCACAGAGAGACTAAAGACAGGAGTCATAGATAACAGCGGTCGGGGACGAGGTATAGGACAGGACAGACGAGACTAAAGACAGGAGTCATAGATAACAGCGGTCGGGGACGAGGTATAGGACAGGACAGACGAGACTAAAGACAGGAGTCATAGATAGCAGCGGTCGGGGACGAGGTATAGGACAGGACAGACGAGACTAAAGACAGGAGTCATAGATAACAGCGGTCTGGGACGAGATATAGGACAGGACAGATGAGACTAAAGACAGGAGTCATAGATAGCAGCGGTCTGGGACGAGGACAGGACAGACGAGACTAAAGACAGGAGTCATAGATAACAGCGGTCGGGGACGAGGTATAGGACAGACGAGACTAAAGACAGGAGTCATAGATAACAGCGGTCGGGGACGAGGTATAGGACAGGACAGACGAGACTAAAGACAGGAGTCATAGATAGCAGCGGTCGGGGACGAGGTATAGGACAGGACAGACGAGACTAAAGACAGGAGTCATAGATAGCAGCGGTCGGGGACGAGGTATAGGACAGGACAGACGAGACTAAAGACAGGAGTCATAGATAGCAGCGGTCGGGGACGAGGTATAGGACAGGACAGACGAGACTAAAGACAGGAGTCATAGATAACAGCGGTCGGGGATGAGGACAGGACAGGACAGACGAGACTAAAGACAGGAGTCATAGATAACAGCGGTCGGGGACGAGGACAGGACAGGACAGACGAGACTAAAGACAGGAGTCATAGATAACAGCGGTCGGGGATGAGGACAGGACAGACGAGACTAAAGACAGGAGTCATAGATAGCAGCGGTCGGGGACGAGGTATAGGACAGACGAGACTAAAGACAGGAGTCATAGATAACAGCGGTCGGGGACGAGGACCGGACAGGACAGACGAGACTAAAGACAGGAGTCATAGATAGCAGCGGTCGGGGACGAGGACAGGACAGACGAGACTAAAGACAGGAGTCATAGATAACAGCGGTCGGGGACGAGGACAGGACAGACGAGACTAAAGACAGGAGTCATAGATAACAGCGGTCGGGGACGAGGACAGGACAGACGAGACTAAAGACAGGAGTCATAGATAGCAGCGGTCGGGGACGAGGACAGGACAGACGAGACTAAAGACAGGAGTCATAGATAACAGCGGTCGGGGATGAGGACAGGACATGACAGACGAGACTAAAAACAGGAGTCATAGATAACAGCGGTCGGGGACGAGGTATAGGACAGGACAGACGAGACTAAAGACAGGAGTCATAGATAACAGCGGTCGGGGACGAGGACAGGACAGACGAGACTAAAGACAGGAGTCATAGATAACAGCGGTCGGGGACGAGGACAGGACAGGACAGACGAGACTAAAGACAGGAGTCATAGATAACAGCGGTCGGGGACGAGGACAGGACAGGACAGACGAGACTAAAGACAGGAGTCATAGATAGCAGCGGTCGGGGATGAGGACAGGACAGACGAGACTAAAAACAGGA